ATGAAGGATAAAGTGAGAAAAAAGTCTTTTTCTAAAACAAGAAGCAAGATTTCCACAAAACAAAATGTCTCCAAATTTGCATAATTCTACACTGAAATCCTGCCAGAAATGCTACCTTAAAAGTGATCCCACTTAACTCTTTATCTGTACTGTACTGTATCTCTCTCTCCCTATCTATTTACATTTTAATTTTGTAATAAAACTATATGAATAGTTACTTATTAAAAGCTGTATATATAGGTAGTGTATATATACACTATATTATTGTTTATGCAAAATACACTAGTAATCATGTCTCTCTTATTTGCACAACTCACATGCAGTTTCTATAGCTATAGCTGCAGTAACAAGTCCTGTGACTGGCTTGTTTATTTTAGGACCACTGTGTAGCTGAGCAGGTAACAAGCAATAGAAAAAAACAGCTTGCTGGCATACTAAGGGCCAACACCTATATTCTCATCCATTCTTTGCACAAACCCTACCTAGCCTCTTTCTCTCTCTGTGACCATCATATCAAACCCTAGTTTCCTTCACTTTTCTTTTGTTCAAAGAATCTGGAAACTCTTAACTACTCATCACACAACCCTTTTCCAACAATAATCCATTACACATACTACTTCTCAACTTAGTTTGACTAGTTACTGTCATGCGAGCCACTGTAAAAACTAATCTCTCGAGGAGTAAAATTACTGTGTGTATAGTACATGTTGATTTTGATTTGAATATGAAGTAGGTTGCGCAATCTTTGGACCCATGAATAAAAAAATTCCTGTCATTGCTGCATAATTAAATGTCCGGCTGATATCAATATTTGGCTCTGTAGTGTACTATATTAATTTGGCGTGACCGAAGTCAATTTCATATTCACAGATGCAATAGGACATATACCAACAAACAATTCAATTGTAAGACAACTAGGCAAACTAAATGTTTGAGTCTTGGTTGGAAGGCTACACTTGTTTAGTTTACTCAACCGAAAAATGTTCATATTAATAAGTCGGATAAAACGTTGGAATTCAAACTTAAAACATAACAGTAGCGTCAGAGTTTTTAGTAGTTATTAACATTTCGTCTATAAATTAAATAAAATCAAATTTTATATTTAACTCTAATTTATAAATTTACGGTGTTATTAATATTTTGGGTATAGATTAAATTAAATTAAATTATATATTTAACTCTAACTTGTGAGTTTTTGGTAGATATTAACATTTTATCTATGTAGTAAATAAGATTAAATTTTATATTTAACTCTAATTCGATTAATACAATAATTGTTATGCAAAGATGAGTTTTTAAATTTTTTTAAAAAATATTACATCCTTTTACTTAGTATAAAATCCACATTTTTACTTAAAAAAAATAGCAAATATTTTCATTCAAATTATTTTAGAGATTTTATATTAGACAAACTTTCTTTCATCTAAATGACTAATGAATTGAGCAAATAACAACTATTTAATAGGTTGAACAAAATGTATCCCATATTTTACTCAAACAACACTAGTGCTTCCAATTATAGTTATTTCATTAAATAGTCCAGAAAAACTTTAATGATCCTCCATCTATTATTAGAACAGTCTATAAGTTTTGTAGATATTACTAAAAGTTGTTGCAACAATAATATATGTAACTAATTTGTTTTTTTTGTTACTTTTCATAAAATTAAACCAACAATTAATGATATTTCTTTATTTCAAAGTGGCTAGTGGTAAGAGTGATTTCAAAGTGTCCATCTAATCAAATATCCATACATATTTGTGTATGAAAAACCATGCATTAATATATTTTTTTAAATGATAAAATAAAAACTAAGGTATGGTAAATTATGAAATCAATTTTATTTTAATAATTTGGACAACCCAAATGAAATCTCGAAGTGTGTGCAGCCATAATTTAGGGAATAAAATGTCGCTAGCATAAAAAGAAAAAGAATATGCAATTGTATGACTGTGCATTTGATTAGACATAAGTCTTATCTAGCCCTAAGAGGCTCCTATCTATTTATATGCAAAAACCCTAGCTAGTGTGTTAGAAGAATAACTTCTTTCGTATTAATCATCAAAAAAATTCCTAATAAAAGTAAGTTTTTGATATGTTGTTACTTTTACTAATTTATTTTGATAATGATATCTTATTATTATTTGTTAATAAACTAGCACGCCATGTCATGATCGTGGTTATTGTGATTAAGCATTCAAAAACAAACACTAGTACTTGTATAATTTAAGAAACAACCTACCCATTAATAGCCATTGGCTTGAAGTCAAGTATGTAGTTAGATTTTACTAGTCACTCTAAGTATGTAGTTATAATGTTTTAGTTACCATTTTAAAGAAATGAAAATTATTGTGATTTTTTTTGGGGTCTGGTTAATCTAACCTATGAAAATCAGTGTGGAAGTGATAATAGGATGATTTTTGGGGTGAGACCCGTCTTAGGTGTTCTCATCAACCTTTCTTTAAGATATGGTTGTAGGGTCTTCTCATCAACCTTTCTTTAGGATATGGTTGCAGTTCTAATCGGGTGATTTAGATTTTGGCAACTCATCAACTTTTATTTTAGGATATAGTTGTAGAGATCTTCTCGTCAATCTTTCTTTTCTTTAAGATATAGTTGTAATTCTAATTGGGTGATTCAGATTCGAACAACTAGTTGAAAGATTTGGGTTCCAATGAAAATTATGGTTTTTTCTTGACAAATGTTGTAGGATATAATCTCCCATCTAGAGTGAATCTTTTTAGGTGTAATATTTTAGTTGATCATATTGGACTGGGTGTCCTTGTGGACAGATCAACTTGAATCAGTCGATCATTTATTTGTTTTTTACGAGTTGTGTCCCCTATTTAATACATAATTTTAGGTGAATTAATAGGGTTGTAGTTATTCTTTAATCGATAGTTGGCTTTGTTTAAGAGTATTGGGGTTTTGAAGAGGGTAAAGTTTATATTGTTAGATATAACTATGATTTTAAATACGATTGATTATTTGAACTATTTAAAAAGACTCCTAACACTTACTTTTAAAATATGGAGTAAACTTAATGAAGTTGCTCTTCATTCTAAGATTTGTTTCAGTTTATGTTTTGTTATTTGTCAATTTAATATTTTGTTTTATTTGTTGTAATTGAGTCTTTTTATATAGTCAGAGATTTGAATAAAAAAACACTTGAAAATGCTTCAAATTGTATCGAGGCTCCATTCCAATAACACTTCATTTTTGTTAAAATTTGAATTTCTAAAAATTTAATATGGCATAAACCTCTAATAAAATTTAAAATAAAATACCAACCATCATTACAAAATATTAAATATTATCATATTTAAAAAAGAAAAAAAGGAGTAATATTTTTCATAAACTTGCTAAAAATGATGTAAGTGTTTACATTTAGTCCATTTTTTTAGAGGTCTATATTAGAATGCTAGCTCCGCCACTCTACTAAAATTAATATTAGTTCCGCCATTGGCTATGGACTAAAATTAATATAGTGAATTTACTCCATAATGAACAAAATTATACAAACCAAACAATGCCTAACTTCAAAATATGAATCCTAAGATTAAAGTCTCTTAACTCACATAACACTCAAGTTGAGAACATGACAAACATTCCTACTACATCTAACCTTTCTCAAATGAGAATGCTTACAGAACTTAACATAGTAACATCCAATTAATTATTCAATAACCTAACTATTTATGTGTATTCCATGCAACTGCATATATCATATTTTAGTTAGCAGAAGCTCAGAAGATTTCATTTTTCATTTCCTAGATCCAAAGTGATGAAAACAAAACAACCTTTCTGCTAATGATACATAAACATGATAAACAAAGGAATCAAGAAAAAGGCATAGATAGAAAAGAGGATAAAAAAAAACAAAAAAAGATTTATGAAGAAGAAGAGAGAAAGAGACTGCTAGCTATATATGTCTCAATCAAAAGAAAGGGTTGGGTGTTGTATTTTGAAGCACATGTAATGCGTCAGTTAATTACAAAACAAAGGAAATTTTTGTAAAGTTAGTGATTGTTGCTCATGAACTAAAACCAGAAGTCTATGAAAGTATCATTAACCCTATATCATATGCATATGTACCTTGACCTATATCATATGTGCCAGTAACCCACTTGTATGCAACATAATACAACTCTCACATGCACATACTTTGAGGATGCATTTAAACATTATCAACCAAACAAGAATAACTTTTCCATCTCTAGCATTTAGATTTAGACATCCATTCTTTATGGTTGTCTATTATCTTGCCTCTTTTTTCTTGTTTTTCAGACTAGTTGTTGCTCTAAATGCTTCTTCTAATTCTCCATTTTTACACAATAATATACAGATTTTTTTTTTTGTTGAAACAACCAGCTATTATATACTAGTAGCTCTGTTCAAATCCATATCCCCAGAAATCATGCAAAAGATAAGTTGGAAGAAAAAAAGTGCTTTTTAAATTCTTTGTTCAACCAAACACGAAACCTATTTCCTTCTATTTTGATGCGGCAAAGGGAACTGATTATCAGGAAAAAGCAGCTTCGAGTTCAGCACTTATTTTAATTTTACTAAATTTTTATAAAATGCTATAAACAAAACAAATCAAATCAGAGAAATTTTTATATATACTATTGCACTTGCACTTGCACTTGCACATATCCATATGCTGTCTGCGCCGCGTAATCAAGAAGAAAATATCACATGAAAATCTGAACTGAGATTTTGGATTGGACAAAACAAATTAAACATTCTTCCAGCACCCTTTAATTTCGTGCACACTGAATAATCATCATCGTTGTAATCATTTGTAAATACACATAACTATAGTACTCTATAGCTAGTAGCTTAGTATACTGCTACTTCAGAGCTCATAATAATGTTAATCAAAATTAGACATAGAAATTAACATTGATACATAAAATTAACATACTTAATGGTTTCATTTCAAATAATTACTGAAATAGATCATATATAGAGATAGAAAGAGGGGTTACGTTACGTCTTTAGGATCTTGGAGGTGGGAAGAATTGCGTACCAGCCATGAAAGCATTAAGAGGTGCTGGATAAAGTGATGAGTATTCAAATGGATTGTTAACATTTGTTGCGGTGGTTGTTATCAGATTCTGTTGATTTCCTTCACCACCGCCGCTGCCACCACCAGAAGAACCCTCACCACCACCACCTCCACCAACAGCATTTGCACTAGTGTAACTACTCTCAAGTCCTTGATCATAGAGAATTCCCTTGAAAACACGTCCTCCTATGTTCACAGCAGTTTGATAAGCGTAACGCTCATCTTGTGCATCCATTGCACTCACTTTAACACACCGGAACACCGCCGGTGAATTCAGTTCCGGTGGAAAATTCCCCAGCTCCAACCCTAATTTCAAAACAATCATAATCTATAAATCAAAATCACAGAAATTAATTAAACCTCAATCGCTCTATATTGCTATCATTTTCAGGAATCAAAGAAAGAAAGAACCATTTACCTAACAATTTCATTTTCACAAATGATTAAAAAAATAGAGAGAGAAAGAAGAAGAAAAAAAAAAAGAAACAAGGTGATACATAGATTAGAGTCTGAAGAAAGGAATGGATATATAGATTATATAGACCAATTAGGTATCCTATTTATCATAGAAGACTAGAATTCCTCTCTTCGAGATCTCTATCAACCAGCTATATAGTTTGAAAAAATTTCACTGACCTAGCTATATATCATAAAACTAAACACTAAAATTCAAACACTCGTGATTATTTTTTTATTTTCGTTTTCTAAACTCTCTCTTTCAGTTATTATTTTATATATATACCTGTGGTAGTGATAGGTATTGGAGTACAAGCAAGAGAACCAGAAGCTCCTCCTGCAGTATCGTTTGGATTTTCTCTGTGTCGTCGTGAAGAATGAAACTGTTGCTGTTGCTGCTGATTTTGTTGCTGCAAAGATGAAAGCTGATGCTGCCGTTCACGGCGTTTCGCGGCGGGAACCCAAGTGCTTTTAACATGTGTTTGACACTGAAACCCTCGGCTCTTACAACAAGTTCTGCATCTAAGATGAGGACAATCTTTCTTCGCTTGGTTACCGCAATCTTGGCAGTTCATTCCACCGCCGCTTAAACCACCACCGGAAGACCTCATCACTGTTAATCCAAATCTAGTTGATTCATCGGAAAACGAAACGGAAACGTCGTCGTTTAAATTGTTTTCGTTTCTTCTACTACTGCTTCCCCCTCCACCTCCAACACCGAAGGAGTAAAAGTTGTTAAGATTTTGTTGATGATGGAAAGAAGATTGTTGTGGTTGCGGCCATATCTCGAATCCTTTGTTGTTGTAGATCTCTTCGTTCCTGAAGAGAAACTGATTATTAGTGTTGTTTGCACTGTTATTATTTTCTTCTTGTTCTCTAGCTTCTTCTTTTCCTCTTCCACTGCTTAGAGAGAAGAAACCTGCCATGTTGATTTGTAGTAAAAAAGTGAAATGATCTTGTTCACCAATTCAGTTATAATTATAACAACAACAATAACATCCATATCAGTAGAAAAGAAGAAGCTTCGAGAATCTTAAATTAGTTTTGAAGAGAGAGAGTATGTGTTTGTTAAAGTTTTCTGCGTGTGATCAGAGACTATAACCGTAATTTTCTTTGGTTTCAAGTCCAAATTAAGTAAGTTGTTTAGTTTAGGTTTGGTTATTAATTTTCACCCACTCGTTTTCTTTTTAAAATATAGAGATTTTTCTTCTTGTTGACTCTCACTCACTTTGTTACTGTGGCTAGTTCGTGTGGGGGTAAGTGAACTTCTGGTCAGGGGATTTTTCTTTTTCTTTTCTTCTTTTTTTCAGCTTTTGAGGGACAAAAATATTTCTTAATCACAAAAAGTTAAAGAAAAGGAGAGACAAGAATTAATATTAATTTAAATGCTTAATCTATGAAAAAAATATACTCTCTCCCATTCAAATATAAACAACTTAAGAAAGAAACAATCTCAATGGTCTTAGACATAAACCAAAGACATTCATAATTTTTCTACTTTTTTTCACATTCTTATGTTTTTAACTATTTTCAAAGAAAAACTAGGGATAAAACTAAAAAACAAAATTTAAATGGATTTAAAAAAGAGTGAATTTTTTTATAAAATTACTTATATTTATGACCCGAGAAGGTATTAGTTATTGGTATCAAATTTTATAACAAAAGAATTTTTTTCCTAGCAGCCAATTTAGTGAGTAAAATTTTAACTATTTTGGTTTTGATTAGGAATGCCACATTTTCGAGCGAGTTTATAGTTTTTTATTAGTTTATAATTTATTTTTGAAACCCTATTTTAAATAGTGTTTTAATTTATAGATTATAATTTATCGCTTATCATCTTTTCTTCTATTTATATTCTTATTTATTTTAATAAAAACTTTCTTTTATTCTTTATAATTTATTTTAATTTAAAATAAAATAAATATGTATTACATGCATTTTATGTCATTTTATATTTATAATTTATTTGAATCATTAATTTTATCAAGCACTTCAATTATCTTATCAATTATCAGTCACCAACCATCAGTTATAAGTTATAAAATATCAGGTTTCACCCATCAATCATAAGCTATAAATTAATTTATCAATTGTTATTTATATCAAACACAACATTAAAATAAATGAGCATTGATGTCACAAATTCAAACTTACACCATATATAATCGAATATCTTTTATCATCACATATTTTAATGCAGGGTTTTCATCAACTGTCGTGTTGTAGTAGATTATAACTTTTTGCAATTTTGATGCATATAAATGTCACAACATTAATTACAATTGCAATGGTGTAAATTAACAACAATTCATTTCTTAATTCAAAAAGGGTAATAATGATATCAATATCTAAGTTGGATTGAATTTTTTTTAAAACCTTGCTTTAATGTATAGGAAAAAAATAAAGATTAGTTAATGAGAAAAATAAAAGTGCATGTGTTGTGTTTGTGTTTGGGTGTAATAGTTTTCTGGTTTGTGTGTTGAATCCTTCTCTCGGCGCAATTATGGCACAGAATTAGTCCCTCTGCTACGCCGCCATGATAACTGCACCCATCTACCCTACTGTAGAAAACCATTTATGAGTTGAAATCACAATAACTGAACCCATTTCTCTCTCTCTCTTTCTCTCTAAACACTGGCTAGTGGCTACTATTATTGCTGAGATTCGAATTCGAACTCAAACTCACACAGTGTTTATTATTATTGTTCGTATGTGTTCGTGTGAGGGAACATGAAAACCTGTAATGCTACAGTGATCTCTATCAGTTAGAGTAAATTACCGCCGTTTGATGAAAAATCACTTTGATGATTTGATTGTTAATGGATAAGATTGTTCCACGTGTCGTGTCAGTGGCTTTTGCTTATTCGTCTTTACACCGGAAAACTCGGTGGTACATTTTCTGACCGAAGTCTCTATAATTAAGATTGATTTCTTGTTCCAGTTTTTTATGAGATGAAGTAATTGACAATACTAGTAGCCGAGTGAGGAAATGCGTCCCTCAAACCACATGCACCTGCGTCCCTCATTCTATCTCTTTCTCTTATGTCTCTATCAATGGTCAAATCTCCCACTTCTTTATATCCAACGGCTCAAACTTATCCAATCCATCTCTTTTTAGTAATTCATAAGCATATAGTATGTAGTAGAGTAAGAAAAGAAAAACAATATAGTTCCTCCCTCCCATATACTTCCTCCCTCCCATTAAAAAAATGAAAGATAATATTTTTATCACATATTGAAAATAATAAAAATAATATTAATTAGAAGAATAAATAAGAAAAAATATATTAAATAAAATCTCATTGTTGAGTTGGTAGAAAAGAGACCCGGTGTCTTTTAGGTATTTGTTTCAACTCTTGTCAAATACAAAATCTGATTTTATTTATTTATTTTGAAGGTCTCATTTTAAAATTTCTTTAGGCCTCTAAGCGTGTTGGGCCGACCCTATATTGTTATAATTATTTTGCTAATGAAAAATGTTCTCATCTTGAATTCAGGTTCATATTCGTGATAACGAGTTTATTGATGATAATTATTTGGGCTTTCTAAATGTAGTACTTGGTGAACCCTGTTCTTCGATTTAAATTGGGAAGATGTACATGCAAGTATTCTAGTGCTCAAGTTACTATCTGATTGAGATAAGGGATAAGTAAAGAATGAAATATACATTGAGACAGAGTGGTGTGAAACTTATATAACCTTAAAAATGTGGTATTGATTTTGGGTTTGACTGAAATAATTCCCCCCAAGTCTTAGTTAACACAATAAGCTAATGACTTGAATTCGATGATTATGTTTTCATATGTAATTGATGAAATTCTTATACCGGATTACACTTAAATATATAAGTGTCCCTTTAATAAGACTATAATGGGTTGTCTTAGTGTCCCTTTTATTTGGGGATCATATATTACTAACTGAAAGTCCATTGTTTAAGGCAATTGTTAATGGAATATGTTGTATTATTGATTGAGTGTCATAGTAGTACTTTTTGGCGCACCAATCACTCTTCAATGTTTGTAAATACTAGCATTAAGGCTATACAATTGGGAGCAACACACTTTTCAATGCACTTTTACACCTATGTAAGTATCTTAGAAAGTGTGTAACTCTTTAAGATTGTGCTTCAATCTTTTTTTTAATGTTCGGTGTTGTTGACATCTGATAAGTGGTAAATAAATTTCTTGCTTGTTTTCCCATTGATTTCATGTGTGTTTTAATCTTTCTAGTTCATTTTTACGCATTTTTGTCTGATATGTTTGTTTTTAGGTGATAAGAGGTCAATGGAGCGAATCGAAACAAAAAAGGTCGAAGATCGCACAAAAAGGAGTGCTTCCAATACTAATTTCTCGAGACCAACATGGCTTGGCCGTGTCCCATGACACAGACCGTGTTGTCCCCTTGGCGCCCCTCCATACAAGCAGCTAGATGCTGACACGCCCAGCCCAATTTGCCTGACACGGTATGTTTCAACACTCATCCTATTATAAAGTTTTGATCTTTTGTCTTTTTTGTGACTTTTTAGTATTTGTCACCTCAAAAACTTCATAGCTAAGCAACTAGTGATTGGTTTGCTTGAATCTAGTGCTAACAATTAGTGATTTATGCCTTGGATTAATATAAATATAAGTTTGAGTATTAAGAGAAGACATCACTTTCACTACTTTCATTTTTCACAAGTTGTTGTTTTGCTTAAAGTTCTTAACTAAACGTTTGCTACTCTTTTGTTATTTCTAGCACTTCAAGTATAATCTTGTCGTCATCTTCATTTTAGTTTGTCATTGCTTTACTTGCTTTAATTTCAAGTACAATCAAGACGTGTCGTCACATGACGAGGCATGACGCTCTTGATTAAATTACTTAGCCGTGCCTTAAACACGTTTAGACGCGCACGCCACGAATGTGGGTGACGCACATATTTGTCTAATTTTCTATAAAATGGCTTAGAACTTCTCATAATTCAAATATGAATGGTCTTATGGGTGAGTCTAGATGGAGGATCATAGCTCCTAGTTCTGCTTTTATTAATTGTTAGAAAATTATTTTTCAATCTGCATCAAACAAACCTTTTGCGATCACCTTAGATAAGCATAGTTAAAGTAAGAATTGGTACTCATACACCCCTCTATGGGATCGATTTTTTCCACTACTTGACACAACCATGCACTTGTGGTTCACACACATTAAGTTTTAAGCACCACTGCCGCAGAGGTGTTTTGATATCAACCAATTTATTTCAATGTCGTTTATACTTTGTACTTTTATTTTCTGTTTTATTTATAGTAATCTTATATGTGAAGGACTCGTTTGACCAGAAATTTGGTTGAATCGATTAACGAGATTGAGCATTTTCTTCATAAAAGACGTCGTCTCCTAGCCTTACAACAGATGGCTGAGATAGTAGACTCTAAACCACTTCAAGAATAACTTGAAAATATTTGTTGTTTTCCAAGAATCCATTGTCAAAATTTGGATTTGTATAAACAATATATTTTAATATTTTTTTAACAGAAACCGAGAGGTATATGGTGCTTGGGATCGAAAATATCTTATTGGATGTTTTATTTAAAAAAGATATGAAATTTATATCGATTTTGAGTAATAACCGAAGGGAAATATAAGCGTGTTTATTGAGTTTCTTCACCGCTCTTAAACAAATATTTATCATCCATTTAATGAGTATCAACGCTCAAGACACTGCCATTAATGATCAACATGAAATCTAAATGACATTATAAAAGCATTCTGAATATTAAAAATTGATAATAAAATATTTAACATGAAAACTTTGAAACTTAAAGATGTTTGAAAATGCTCTCTATGATGAATTTCAATAGCAAACAATTATTTGGGGTCATGGTTTGTTTTCTTAAATAATCATATAACTGAATATTTATTTTATTTGTCTAACCCTTTTTTGTTTTAT